AGAGCTCACCTGTGTATTTATCGCTTAAATTGTAATATTCATATTCGTCGTAGTTCTCTTCCTCAAAGGCGGAGGGTTTCAGGTTGTTCACGTCGACGTGACTCATGTTTGTTTCTCTGGGAGAGAAAGAAAGTTTGTCAAACTGTAGAAAAACAAAAATGTAAAAGCTTTCCAAACTCAGACTTGATGTGGCAGAGTGCAGCTGTTCCTACAGAGGCTGTCTCTGGGACTTTTATACCGGACTCATGCAGCTCCTCCCCCGCAGGTTTCATCTTTCTGATGCAGAAATGTTGCATCAGATTATAAACTCAGACTCAGGAAAACATAGAGTTTATGATTTCCCTCATTTGTAAGAAAGAACACTGTTTATTAGATGAAGGTCTGTGCATCCATAGTATCCAGCTGCTTGATTATTACCACACACATTACAGTCAACTGTTGCACTCATGGTCATAAACACATGTTATGGCATGTTGTTCATGCTTGTTTTACAACAGAGACTGATGCCTTGATTTGTTTACTGTGATTCACAGTAAACAAATGCACAAACTATACAAACCCTTTGCATAAATTGGACGTAGACCTACAAAAGTTTAAAAAAAACAGATCAGACAGCACAAGGTCTATACAATGTGTTTTCCAGGAATAAGAACCATCTGGGGAATAACTGTTATGTGTTGTTGTTGTTGTTGTTGTTGTTGTTCAGTTCACACACACTGAGGATAAAATAACTGAAATGAGCTAGAGAATTTTCCAACATGATTCACCCACAAAATATGAAAATTAAATAAAGTACAAACGATGCAACGTGAAAGATTAACGTTATGATTGTGCTTGATTATGTCATGTTCTAAAAGAAGAAGAACAAATCCATGTTTATGAACTCTTGTTTTTTTAATGTCCTACTTCTGACTTTGACTTCATCTGAGATCAAAACAATATTATCAGCAGCTGCAGTCTTCACACTGCAGCTCTGCCCTCATTCAGTGTGTGTGTGTGTGTGTGTGGTGTGTGTGTGTGTGTGTGTGTGTGTGTGTGTGTGTGTGTGTGTGTGTGTGGTGTGTGTGTGTGTGTGTGTGTGTGTGTGTGTGTGTGTGTGTGTGTGTGTGTGTGTGGGTGTGTGGGTGTGTGTGTGTGTGTGTGTGTGTGTGTGTGTGTGTGTGTGTGTGTGTGTGTGTCTAATCCATGTCAAAGACCTCGTGACACTTCCACCCAAAACAAACTTTGGACTGAGATTATCATTCAGTGAAAGTACAGACAGAAAGTATGTGTAAATACTACAGTGAACAATACGCAGATATTTAAACTTGCAACAAGCTCATCCCACTCTGAAGAAGGCTCTTTGCAAACAACTTTTTATTAGACACTAAAGATAACCAATCGGTGCAATATAATTGTTTTTAAAATGATAATGCTCATCATTAGAACATATTGTATGTACTGTTTGTACTGATGAGTAAACAATATTTCATTTCAACAGTATTTGTTTTAGAGGTGGAAAGACAACTAAGCTAAACTAAAAATAATTGTATTTAAAAATTAAAATGCAAATTAAGTGAACTGAACTGAATGCAGACGTTTTGCAAGTCGTCTCAAATAGAAAACATTATGTGATATATGATCCTACAATACATTTCCAAATCAAATGTACACTATTTTCCTGACTTCTCCCTCGTCTTTGCTAATTTACAGGAAATCAACGTTACATTTTGCAACATCTCTCCTAAAAGTTTAGGGGAGAGAATCAGAGTTTGTTTGTTTTAACTTAGAAAATGTTTCCTCGTGATGCTATAAACACAAACACAGGAAAACTAGGACAAATAATGAGAGGCTCTGCATTCAAACTCATCCGTATGTCATCACTCTGTAATGATAGGCCTGCACGTCCTCCATGTTACAGTAACAGCTGTCTGACTGTAGTGCTGAGCAGAGCTGACCCAGGTTCTGTCCCTGGAGTATAAATAAAGGTTGACTGAATTAATGGGTTCATTTACTTTAATGGATTTTACTCATTTATTTAATAATTTCAATATTTGCTATTATATGACCTTTCCTTTGTATATTTGTATTTTTTCGTTATTTCTTTTATTTTCATTATTTCCCAAATGTGTTGCATTTTTTTTTTTTTATTCAACCATTTATTTTATTTAGTATATATTTATTTTTTTGTCAAATGTTTTTGTATTTTTTTTAATTAAGTGACTGTTTTTTGAGTAATCTATTTTTATTGTGTATTTTTATACTTTCAGTTTTTTATTTCTGTCATCTTTAGTCCTCCAAATAATGTATAACCAAGTGGATAAAGTCTTTACTGTCGGGTATTTTTATTATATGTACAGCACTTTGGCTCGACCAAAAATCGTTTATAAATGTGCTATATAAATAAAACTTGATTTGATTTGATAATCATTAACAGCTGACTGTTTTTGTGATAAAGTCACGAGGAAAGTATTTTCTGAGATGAAATCATCCTCTCGTGACTTTATTATTGACTCATACTGTCCTACAGTCCACTTCATGTAATCACACAGCAGCTGTTTCTGAATTTCTCCTGTGACAAAACATCTGACGAGACAGGAGGAGGAGGAGGAGGAGGAGGAGGAGGAGGAGGAGGAGGAGGAGGAGGAGGAGGAGGAGGAGGAGGAGGAGGAGGAGGAGGAGGAGGAGGAGGAGCAGGAGGCGTTTTACGACCACCAGACCTCCTCTGTATTTCAGATGTTTTACGACCACACTGCAGCAGCTTTTGTTTTTCAGATTTCAGGATGTTTCCTCTGAGCTCCGGCTGTGTTTTGCTCTCCTCCTCCTTGTCCTCGTCTCACCTCCAGTATGTAAATATTTTCAGAAATATGAGCTGAGCTGTTACAGCATGGCTCAGTTCGGTCTGCAGGAACTCCTCAAACACACTGAGAGCAGACTGCAGTCTGTAGGTCACTGATAACATATCAGCGGCCCTCTGTGAACCACATGCAAATAAAGAGAAGGTTATAAAGCATTGTGGACGTAAAACAAATATCCACAAAAGAAATACTCACTTTACCCATTAAACCCAGGCACACTGCTTTGAAATGCTCAACATATTTGTATTATTGTGACTTCTTAAAAAATGCAATGTGTCTTCTTCAGGATCAAAACATGTACACGATATCACAGATAATATTCACAAAAACCAATGCATCTAACAGCCTTATTCAGGCATGTTTTATGAGTTTAAATGGTTGTTTATGAATTACTTATGCCATAATCAAGTTTCTTTGCATTGTAGGAGTAATGAGTATAGTCCAAATGGAAATCTTCATGTTAAGTACAACCACCCTCTAACATTTTTAAGTTCATTAACATAACGATACAAAAATAAATAGTTATTGTGGGGGAAACTTTTGAAGCAATTGGAAACAGGACTCAGAGGCACGAGGAGAGCTGGAGCTTTGATGGAAACACTGATGGTTTATTTGGAGTTACGGTCGGAGAATTAACAAGACAGGTGGTGTGTCACGAGTTGACACAGCGGTTGCCAAACCAATTCTGAAGAACTCTTTCTGTAGCTCGAGGTTTTATCTAGTTCGGAGTGTAATAATCAACATTCTTCATCAGTGAGACTAAACAAATATGGACCCTGAATCTAACTAGAGCTGTCGTCCATAGAAAAGAATGTGCGCCAGGGAACCTACGTTCCTGAACAGTAAACTACCTCATGGCGGCTTGTGCTCTGTCATAGACTGGCAACAACAATGCGCCCAAGCTGCTCCTCCTTAAGAGAGATAGCAGCAATACCCAAGGCCATAGACATATGCCATGAGAAAGGAGACAGTAAAGAGAGAAAATTATGAACTGGGTCGAAGGTTGAATACCTAAGCAAATTATTCCCTAACAGTTATAAATAAATAACAAGATAGAATTAAAAATTCTGGCATTTGAAGTCCTCTGAAAAAAAAAACAGTCCTATAAAAAAAACAAAAAAATGTATTTAACTATATTGATTTATTCATATATTTCTATTGATATGTTTGTATATCTTTTGCCTCACGTTTTATTTATTAAATGGACTTAAATGGCATTTGATATTTAACATCAGTACAGTGGTTTTAATGTTATGGATATTTGTATGTCCAGACAGCTTAGTCTCTCTTAAACACCCAAAGTCATTCAGTTTATGTGTGCTTATAAAGATGTGTTTTGCTGAGGTGTATAATGATTAACTTCGAATTCATAAACACAACGCATTTAGTTTTAGGGCATCGTACCACCACAGCAGATATTAATCATTCATTCTCAGCATATTTTTCTGCGGTGTGATGATAACAGTTTGTACATGACTTCTGGCCAAAGTACCATCAACACATGCAAAACAAAGCTTCAAAATGACTTGAGTTCATTCTACAAACTAATCTGTGGTCATCAGGAAGGCTGCAGGTGAAATGTATTGAATAGTACATGTGTGTTGTACAATTTCTAGATTATAAAAATACTCCTTTACAAGTATAACTGCTGCAATCAAGATATTAGGGTTCATTACATAAAGGTACAACAGTAGTTTCTTCATCAAATCAATCAAATTATTGTATCTGCATATCGAATTATATGATTAAATATAACACTTAAACAAAATGTCACAGTGATGGCAAACATGTATGTTTTTATATAAGAACTTCAAGGCATTTATTTAAAAAGCACATTAAAAAAGGTAATTCAAAGGACTTTACAAAAATTATTGAATACATCTAGATAAAATATACACATTATGAAATTATATTTTAATACAAGTTTAAATTCCCAAAGTCAAATAATTATTGTTATGCTGAGTTGGAGGAATGATGTATCACTATATTAGCCTATATGTTGTCATTTTAATCTGAATCTGCAGAGTAGATTAAACTGTCAGATGAATGTACTTCAATAAAAGGAGTAGGAGTATAAAGTTGCATACAAATAGTAATACTCAGGTTTAGTACAAGCACCTCAAAAATGTTCCAGCAACAAACATGTCAAACCTGCAGTTCCCCCTTCCGGCCATCCGGTGGCGGTATGTGAAGCTGGTTCGCATTTACAACACCAACGAAGAAGAAGAAGCTAATCTGTGGTGTTAGCAAACCCACAATAAATAAACAGAAAAACTAACACGGTAGGTAATGTTTCATATTGTGTGACGAAAAAGATAAAACATTGTGTATGTTAAGGTATCCAAGCGGAAATATGTACATCTAACGTTTTCGTTGAGTGAGCATACATCTCACGGTTTAGCAACCTGGCTAACATTTGTTAAACAAATCACTTGCTAACCCAATCGAGCAGCAACATTTAGTCATACAATTGCTTTAACGTCACGTTGCAGATTAAAGGTAATGTCAGCATTTCAACCAGGTTTACCAAAGCATTTAGTTTCAATATTCCTCTCAGTCTAAACCCTATTCTATTTTTATCGCGTTAGCGTCATTACGAGCCATGTTTCTTCACAATAAGAGTTTGTACTAAACTTCGTTAAGAAATTCGTCAATTTTGAGACACATTTTTATGTATGAGACATAAAAACACAGCAACATATTATTTGAAACTGGAATGATACACTTTTTTATTCGGCTTCCGTTTCATGTACTTTAACTTTTTAATGTAATGTTCATATTACAATAACATGTGTTCTGGTCTAACTGCCTTCTGTCAGAAGTTCCTTTAAAATGACAGATTTTCTCATAGAGTTTTGTGTGTATCCACACTTTTTTAAACATCATTTAAAACCGAACCAAACAGAAATAGAATTCCACCTTGTTATTCAGGAGACAGAAAAATAGTAGACCATTTGTTTAAACAGCTTCAATATACAGTTTAAATACAATGTTAAAATCTACTACTACACAATCTGTTCTGCTCCAATTAACTGCCTTTTTTAAAACAAGCTGTACTGGTTTCGTTGAAATGACAGATTTTTTAGATGCCGTTAAATGCTGGAACTTTTATACATTTCATCAGTTAACACCAAACTCCATTCAGAAATCGACCAATTCAGAAATGCATTTTTATTAAGGAGGCACCAAACATACAACTGGTTTGATTCACATTTCTACTCGGCTTCAATTCAATTGACTGTACCTTTTCAATATAATGATAACATTTCACACTTTTTTTCTGGTCCCACTGCCATGGCCCTTTCCGTTAAAATGACAGCTTTCTTAATGGGGTTTTGTGTGAATTAACGCTGTGCTAACAAGACTCTTATCTGTAAAACCCTGAAGGTAGCAAAATGTCAGCGGATACTAAGATTGCCGAGCTGCTCACAGAGCTCCATCAGCTCATCAAACAGACCCAGGTAAGTGAGTGACATTGATTAATAGTTAATAAACTCTGATTAAGGTATGAATTGTTAGTAATCATGCTTAAAGTTAACCAAATCTAAATAATAATGTCTTCAGGAGGAGAGGTCACGCAGTGAACATAATCTGCTCAACATTCAGAAAACACATGAGAGGATGCAGACGGAAAACAAAAGTCAGTCGCCACATCATCACAAACTCCACTTCCACAACACCGAGACATTTATTTGATTTTCATTTTTTTTCCAACTGGTTGGTTAGTTGCTGATTCAAACCAACATTATTGACTTGTCTCCTGCAGCTTCTCCATATTACCGCACCAAGCTCAGAGGACTGTACACCACAGCCAAAGCAGATGCTGAGGCAGAGTGCAGGTGAGTGGACACCTAACACCATGCACTTTATTAACGTTCATTATAACATAGTTGAAGCCATAAATCGCAAACAAAGAAAATACATATAAAGTATAATTTCTTAGTATTCTACAAAGGACCTAGTTAATGCAGACTGTTTATTCATGGCAACAACAAAAACATATATCTTGTTTTGCAACCTATCCTTGGTTACATTTTCCCACGCACAATGTGTTCAAGGACCGTCAGAAATCTTCAAACCAGACTGTCACTTGTATGTTGTTTCTTCTGTGTAGCACTACATTTGGTCTGTGATGAATATTGCAGCTTTTAATGGATGCTAGAAACCATATTTTGTTTTAACTTAATCTTTTTATTTCTCACAGCATTCTGCGTCATGCTCTCGATAAAATTGCAGAGATCAAGTCGTTGTTGGAGGAGAGGAGAATAGGTATGTAACAAAGATATACAGTAATAAAATATAACTAAAGCTTGGAAACAAAAATATAACTCCGTTGTGATGTCCTAATTTAGGTTTAAGTTGGTAATGTTTTAAAGAGAGTTTATGATTTACATTTAAAGCCACTAATGGAGTTGAAATGTTTGCACGCAGCTGCTAAGATGGCGGGGGTGTACAGCGACAGCGACCCTCCCAGGAAGACGATGCGGCGCGGCGTCCTGATGACGCTCCTCCAGCAGTCTGCCATGACGCTCCCTCTGTGGATCGGCAAGCCGGGGGAGAGGTAGGAGGAGATTACATGCTCATTTCCTGTTTTCTTTACAAAGCTACCGGATCATAATCAAATAGGCTTCATTCTGCTGACCAAATGTTCAATATTTGTCCAGGCAAAAAGACACTGCACAGTAAGGCTTTTCTCACAGATGGAAGATATTCTCACACCACTTTATAGAGATGCTGCTCTGCACACACACTAACTACTTGCTAAAATAAGTTGTGGATAAAACTCTTCTCATTGTTGCTCTCTGTGGATAGCAGAGACTATGTGGCACAGAGAGACGCTAAACTACCTCAAAGAGACATAAAACAAACTTAAGGAGACACAAAACGACTTCAAAGGGACATGAAATTACTTCAAAGAGACATCAAACTGTACAAAGAGACATAAAACAACTCAAATACATTAGACAACTGAGAAAAATATATAAAAATAGTTCAACGAGACGTAAAATGACTTCAAAGAGACACAACACTATCAAAAGGAGACATGAAAGACTTTGGAGTGACACAAAACGACTTCAAAGAGATATAAATTGACACATAAGTATCACAGTTGACAAAAGGACTACAAAGGGACATTAAATGACGATGGTAGATATCTAAATGCCACTGTCTAGAGATGCTGCTCTGCACACTCACTCACGGCATTCAGAATAAGTTGTGCACTAACCTCATTACTGCTCTCTGTGTCAGCCCGCCCCCTCTGTGCGGGGCGACCCCTGCCAGCAGCGATTACGTGGCCAAAACAGGGCGACAAGGTGGCGGCGAGGGTGAAGGCCGTGGACGGAGACGAGCAGTGGATCCTGGCCGAGGTGGTCAGCTACAACCACTCCACCAACAAGTGAGAAACTCATCAAATGCTCATTATGTACCATCACATTATTAGACATTCAAATGTACTCATAATGCAGATTGGCTTCTTTCAGTGTTTTATAGGGGTGTAACGGTTCACAAACATTTCGGTTCGGTACGTACCTCGGTTTTTTGGTCACGGTTCGGTACGTTTTCGGTACAGCAGAATTTTTTTTCACAAAATAAAACATATATATATATATTTTTTTATTATTATTATTAAACTGTGAATAATGTATTCACTCAAATAAATACAAAATATAATAAAATAAACATTAAGGTGCAGCATTTCGATGAACTGAAATAATCTGTATTTGAACTTTACTGTAGGCTACTAGTACTCACAAAACATAAACTATTAGTTTTGGGTTTTTTATTTTTTATTAAACTGTGAATCTTCACTAAAAAAAATATAAAATAAAATAAACATTAAGGTGCAGCTTTTCGATTCACTGAAATAATCTGTATTTGAACTGTAGCCTACTGTACTAGTTCCTAAGCAGCCAGCTTGACATTATGACTTGCTTGTCATTGTATTTTCATGTTTTTTTTAAAGAAAAATTAACTTGTCCACATTGCTTGCCGAAAGGGCAGATCTGCTGGCACTAACAATGTCTCCTGCTGTGGAGAACACCCTCTCTAGGGACAGAGGCAGCAGATACAGCCAGGTAGCGCTTTGCTAACATGGCAACATAAGGATATTTGGTGTTTGTAATAGCTTTGGCTCGGTCTGAACTCTCTGCGAGTGGTGGAGGCGTACATGCTAGCGGGAGTTGGGTTTGCACTTCAGTCTTTTTTTCTTTTGGTACCGGTGATATTCACGTTCGGGTGATGCCTTTTCAAGAGTGTGCTAGCTTGATGTATTGCCAGCCGCGTAACCAATTTTAGTTGAACAATGCCGACAAACAGCTTTGGTTCGGTCCACCTGTCTTTGTCCTTCATCCTTGTACGTAACTGCGAAACCAAAATGTTCTCAAACCGGAGACTTCAATGATGCTGGAGGATTTTCGAGCTCAACTTTATCTGCGTTCGCCATTAATTTTCGACAGTTCCTCAAATTACTGACTACATTTGAACGCATCCCTCTGACCAGCTTTCATAGTATGCCTCTCATCCAATGAAATGACTTGCTCGCTCTATGACGCGTTGAACCCAATGTGAGCAAATTACTCTGAATGCTGCGACGCAGCACCTGAGATTACTTCCAAAAAGTTGTTCACGTTCTCAATTTTTTACGTTTAACGTTATATTCGTTCGGTACACTTCGGTACACACCTGTACCGAACCGAAGGGCCCGTACCGAATAATTTCGGTACGGGTACGTGTACCGTTACACCCCTAGTGTTTTACTATTACATTATTTGTAAGTGGTAATATATTGTAGGGCTGCAACTGACCGTTATATTCATTATGGAATATTTCCCCCAGATGTTCTTTATAAATAGATGGTTTTTTTCTTATATTCCAAGATGATTAGTTTAAATATCTTATGTTGCCAATCAGTCCAAAACACACACATATTTACTTTAATATGAAGACTATCTATATTTGAGAGGATTAAAAGAGCATTTCTTTCATGAGAATGACCTTAATCGATTTTAAAGCAGTTATTGTTGCAGCTTTATGGACATTGGTTAAGGTGTGAACTGCTTATTATAGCAGTTTAATCTGTAGCAATGGATTATATTAGTTATCGTATACTTGTAGAGTTACTGATAAATGTAGGGGGATAAAATGATGATATTTAATTCATCTCAAACATGTACAGGTATGAAGTGGACGACATCGATGAAGAAGGCAAAGAGTGAGTTTACATTTACCATCTCTAATACGTAATATTATTATAACTTATATTATAAACCTCATGCAGTGTTCTTCCTCTACAGTCTTCTCTCTTACCTTTATCCGTTTCTACTTCTCTTTATATTTGAATCCTCAATTCAAACCATCTTCAATCTTTTTCCTTACATCTCTTTTTTCTCATGTTTGCTTTTTGAGTCTTTGTCATCTCATTCATGTTAAGGCTTTATATATATTTAAATACAGGCCTTATTACCTCACCATGTTGTTCTTCCTCTGTGATGTTGGTTCAAAGTCAACATTACCAGGTAAAGAGAGACAAATAAATATACTGCTCCTCTCCTTTCTCAAATGTTTGATTCTAGACAGATGCTAAAATGTTTTTGTCCAAATTGTCAAATGACTTGCGTTTTTCGACAACCTAACATTTTTGTTATTTGACCTCCACATAAAAGGGAGCAAGGAGCAAATCCTTTGATTAGAGAAGCTGGGGCAAGACACTGTTTTGACTTACAAATAACAACTATTGAAACAATCAAGCAATTGTAGAAAACAGCTGATTATCTGAGGATTGCCTAGTTGATTAATAATAATAATGAATACGCAGCTTGATAAATATTTGTCATTTTTGTTGAGAGTCCAAAAGTAAATCTATTGTCGCACCGTATGTGTATCCATTAGTAATTAATAAAAAGGATTTTGGGAGAATCTGTATTATCTGGGTCCAGTTTCCCAAACAGACTTTATGTTTCTGAAATGTGTGTGTGTGTGTGTGTGTGATCAGGAGACACACTCTGAGCAGACGGAGGATCATCCCTCTGCCTCAGTGGAAGGCCAACCCGGAGACGGACCCAGAGGCTCTGTTCAGTAAGGACCAGCTGGTGCTGGCCCTCTACCCCCAGACCACCTGCTTCTACAGGGCCCTCATTCACACCCCCCCACACAGGGTAAGACTCATAGCTGTGGTATTATTCGCAAAGGGTTAACATATGAAGCCAAAGTTAGGTCATCAATATAGAGAAATATTTGCCAAAATTGTCAGCATGACTGTGGAAACCCAGTGTTCATGTTAAATAAATGTTTTACTGGGAACATGGAAGGATTACTGAACTTCAAAAGGACACAAAAAGAAGCAAAAACGACAGAGACAAAGAGCAGCTGCAAGAGACTAAAAATGACCACAAAGACATTGAAAATGACCACAAAAAGACACCTTTAGACACAAAACAATTACAAAGAAACACATAACGACTACAAAGAGACACAATATAGATAGAATCGGAGGGATGAAACCCTCTTTAATGGTCACACATGCAGAGCACACACAGTGAAATTTGGCCTATGCTTTTAACCCATCCTAGTACTAGGAGTAGTGGGCAGCTATTGTACAGCGCCCGGGGAGCAATGGGAGTAGGGGGGTGAGGGGGTGTCCAGTGCCTTGCTCAAGGGCAGGAGGTGAACTGGGACCTCTCCAAGTAGCAGTCCACACTCCATATTTAGGTCTGGTCTGGGACTTGAACCGGCGACCCTACAGCTCACAGTCCAAGCCCCTATTGACTGAGCCACTGCCGGACAATATGACCACAAAGAAACACATAACGACTACAAAGAGACATACAACTATTTCAAATACAAAAACTAGTACAAAAAGATGCAAAACTACTACTACTGTCCTCACGACAGTAAAGCTCCAGGTACTAATCCTGCAGAGTTCACTCTCATTAGTCACATCCAGAATAGAAACCTCTGAGTTATGGGTCTTTTCGTTTCATACATGAAGCTTCTTCTCACTAAAAAGACTCACCCAGCGAGCAGACTGTCCCCCGGCTGTCGGACCCCCACACTGACCTCTGTGTGTTTGTTCGCAGCCTCAAGACGACTACTCGGTGCTGTTCGAGGACACGTCGTACGCAGACGGCTACTCCCCCCCGCTCAACGTGGCTCAGAGATATGTGGTCGCCTGCAAAGAGAACAAGAAGAAGTGACCAGCGACGGGAAATCACAGATGATTTCTATTTTTGTAGGAAAAGATGCTCGGAAGTATTTGTCTAAAAAAATCGAAATAGGCTTTTGGAGCCGATTCACCAGGTCATAAAACACCTGAACAGACATTTTAATACTCGTCATCTTTTTAATGAGACTGTCAATATCAGCACTAAGACCATGAGGAGTGAACCTGAACGTCTCATTGGGAACAAATTTAACTGTGTCCAAAATTATACTGCATACTGTAGTCGTGTGTTCACAGGGGAAAAGTGACAAATAAAGTATTAAAGTCTGTCGATACTGACCATTTCCCACAATGCATTGCACAAAAGCGCTGAAGGAGCTACTCACAGCTAGAACAAGGGTATTGCATATTTGAAATATTACTGAAAGAATTAATCGTATTTAAAAAATAGTTGAGAATGATGTGTTTGTAGATCAGTTCATTAAATAATAGTTTAAACTGAGAGAAAAATATGAAAAACGTGTTTTTGAACAGACAAGACACTAATAAACTAAAACAGTGAGGAATGCCACATTGAAACAGTAAAACAAATGTGGAATAAGATATATAGTAGGAGTTATACATTCAAATAAAACTAGATATTGCAGGTATTCTAACGCAGAATACAAATAAAAGAAGATGGAGGGGAAAAAATATAAGACGCCTGCTTCCATTAAAGCTGACCTCCTTCAATTGCTTGTGTAAAACTGCTTTGTGTTTATTTATTTTGTAATTATTGCAGTAACCAAATGAAATGTATATTACTGTATGCATAATACATTTGGACACAGAAGTTGTATTTTATTTGGACCTTTTCCCCAGCCAGGAGCAGCATCTAGTGGCCAGTAAAGGAACGTTTTACTCATAAACCGGTGGTGGTTGATCTCCCTTTGAGAGCCTAAACTGTTTATTTTGTAATTGTAAAGAGTTGATAATTGTTGTGTGAAACAGAAACAACGATGTTTTCATGCATCACTGCTTTGTGTCTTATTGTCCATGTTCTATTTTTAATATTCTAATACTTCTAGTCCACTACATTTCTCTGGCAGCTTCAGTTACTTTACACATTTAGATTTCTACAGACTAAATGTAGGAATAGTTTATTAATGTCTAAACTTTTTAAACTCATTATACAAAACCAGCTATCACGACAAAAACGGAGACAACACCATGATTTAAGTTTAAACAATATTTTATTTAGCAATTTAAATATACAGATGGGATGTGATAATCAGCAATCAGTAGCAGTGTGTGATGAGTGAAGAGTGGGTGTCAATGTTGTGAAGTGCAAAAGGATAAACCAACAAAACCAAAGTCTGTCTGTCACGGCTGCCAGGAGTGAGGAGAGCTGAGTTTGATTAATTGTTGCCTGCAGGGGAGAGGCAGACACTCAATGATGTCCCCCACGTGGGCATCACAGCTGAATATATTTGTTATTTGACAGATGATTCATGTGACAAAATGTTTGACGTTTGAAGTTATTTTTCATGTAAAAATAAACAATGTAATGCAGCTTTTTCTTTTATAACGTAAACGATGAAAAAACTGAAGCACTGTATTTGAGTAAATGTACAGCATTACTTTCCACCACTGCTAAATCAAATATCATTAATACATATTAATAACAGATATTTTCCATTGTACCTGAACGCAACGCGGAAAATCCGCTATTGACTTAGTAATATCCCACGGTACCTAAAGGCAACAACAACGCGCGGAAAAAAAGAAAAATGGCAGAAATGGTGAGTGCTTGCTGCTTTTTATCGCTTTAAAAACACTTTCTCGCTGAATAATGTCGACATAAACGAGTGTAATGTCGCTGTTATCAAAGTCGCTTCTAGGGAAAAATTAACTAGTCAGGTGTGAAGCTAAATAAACAGATTAAAGTACATCCAAAGTGTTGTCGCAGGTTAGCTTGTTTGTTTTTCAAAATAAAAGTCTACAACATACGTTTTGTATAATGGATCCTCTAGCTGCCTCCATGCTTTCGGTTTTACTTTCTGTTTTATACAATAGTGAATATTAAACTACCAATGTAACCACTCTTAACATAACTTAACCCTGTGTGAATATATTTTAGAAACTGTAGATATCAATCATAGTCCCGATTTTAAAAAATCGTAATTTGGACCTAGCTAGCAACCAGATGTTGAATATAGGACTTTTTACCTGTGACCAGTGCTTGAATTGGGCCGGTACTCACCGGTGAGTTGTGTCAAATTATACACCCCCGTCGTGAAATGCACCCCCCAAAAAAAGATGCTCTATTAATCCCACCCTCAAGCACTTTGGGTATAGTTGTAGGACTAGTACCTCTAGACCAGGGGTAGCCAACACGGTGCCCGCGGGCACTCAGTCGCCCGCAGGGGCAACGTGAGGCGCCCGCGGGGCACGTTCTATAGCTCGCCAAGCAAATCCAAAATGTATAAAATACACAAAACTAAAAAGGAAATGTAATTAAAAGAATCTACCCCATGCATAAACGAAACCTAAATCATAGCTAACTCTATCTACTTACTACAACTCTATATCTATCTAACACCCCTCCCCCACCCCACAATGAATATCGACCAATCACGTTCTTGCTTGATTTGCGGGACCAACGTTGCAGTCGGGAAGAAAAAAAATGTGGCACCTCCCCGTGATTTTCCTTCTGGCAGAATCTACACAACACATCAGCCCCATTGAACAGCCTATCGTGCCAGCCTATACAGCACATGAGGGGCAGAGTTTTACTGTGTGTGTTGCAACTTGCATATATATTTATTCCACTTGACGCACACACACGCATGGCGTAATCTCCACTGGGGACAGTGGGGACATGTCCCCCGCACTTTTTGAAATCCCGTTTGTGTCCCCCCACTTTACAAATATGTATTATTTATTTTTTTAACACAAGCCGTCACGGAGGAGCACACAGCCTCTGTGAGCGAGCGAGACAGAGGGGGAGAGAGAGAGAGAACGAGCGAGGGAGCGAGGGAGCTAGGGAGAGCATACTTTTTTCTATTTAATATAGATAAAGTAAGAAATCATTCCAGTGTGTACTATAGGACAGTACAAAAAACAGTAAACAGTGTAAAAGGGGAGTGATTAGTAAAATATGCATAAATAAAAAGAAAGAATGCTAACTAGGTAACATAAGATAAGAATAAACTAGTTTAAATGATTTGTTATTGGTTGTGATCATATTCTAAAGATGTTTGGATCATTGAAATGTATACAGCTCCCTTTCATCTGAGTGTTGAGAGCTGTATCCATAAATTCATTTTGTGCTCATAGTGCACCAGATTGATGCATTTAACTTCAACATTTAAAAAAACATCTTCCCGGGGGTGCATGCCCCCGGAACCCTAGAGGAGGTGAGGACCCCACTAGAGGAGGTGAGGTCCACCCCCAAATAAAGCAGGTTCAAATAATTAAATTGCATACATGTTCTTTTAGTAAACACTGAAAACGGGTCCCACAGACCCAAACAGCACACAAAGGTTAAAGGTCAGCATATAATAATGTTAAAATGTGCTAAATATATACACTGCAAAAAACAAAAAAAGAAGAGTAAAAGTAGCTCACGACTTGTTTTATTTTTTGAAAGTAGCCCTCATGCTAAAAAAGGTTGGTGACCCCTGCTCTAGACTGTATATATAAATGGACGTAGGGTCCGTGACGTCACCCATAGGATTCTGCAGAGTTGCCGTGAAGCCCGTAGTAGGCGGAGTCGGCCACTAACGGCTCGACAGTGACGCCAGAGTTCAACTCCCGCCTTCTCCAAATAAGGGCAAAGAGGCGGAGCCGAGCCGGGACCTGCTGCCACCGAGCTGGAAGCTCCAGAGCTAGCTGAAGCTACCAAGCTAAGCTAACATGCTCCCATCTGCACACTGCCGTCGCATTTTACGTTTCTAAGGTAAGCGGACATGAAACTATTCAGCAAAACTATAAATAATAATCTAAGTTATCGAGTTTTAACATAATACTTCAGAATCTTAAAACCCCTTAACGTTTGTATGCAATTGTGCTAAATTCAACACTGGAATCAAGCAAATATTAATATGTTTGCATGACATTAGTTATTTATATTTTGATATCACTTAACTATTACGTTTAATACATTTAAGTCAAGCTAAGGTACATGTGATGGTAGCTAGTTAGTGCTCTTACCTGTGAGGCCTCCTCCAAACAGCATAATAACCAGACTATCATTAAAACTAAGTACCAGTTATAGATCCTTGACTTTAGACAAACAATTCAAAAGACAACATGTATTTAAAGACCAATCTTTATTTGAAGGTGCCTCTTAACCTGAGATATTAGTTATACAGTAATAGTATTGACAATCTAAAAAAACTGAGCAACTCAACAGTCAACTTTATGTTTCTTATTGTCTAAAGCATTTATTATTTTCATTTTCCCAATCTCATATTCAGTGTGGACGGATTGAGACAGCCTGGTGTCCAGAGAGCAGCAGAGACTTCAGGGAGAAACCTCCGTGTGATGGACGTCCTGTCTGTTGGTTTGGAGAGGACTGAGGGTCTTTCCTCTGCGAGGAGGACCAGGGCTGATGGAGGAGCCCATGCTGGGCAAAGCTGATACCAACTGCACAGGCCTAGTCTGTCACTTTATTTGACTAAATGTGTTTACTTATACATTTAATAGGTTTACACCTTCTGTCCATATGTGCTTTTTATTTAAAACATTTGATTAACTTTTGGTTCACATTTCAATAAATTGTATTTGTATTTGCACTCCTTTTGTCCATTATTCTTACTGAAAATGTTAGATTACACATTCACATCTGACTGAAGATTGGCCCCATTTATTTGTGACGTTGCAAAACAAGGTACATGTTGTGAAGCTCATAAAGTGAGGCAAATAGAAATAATCAGCTGATGGAGTGTAGATGTGGAAATAGCTGCATTCGATCAGCTGACTGTGTTTACAATAAAAGTAGTTTCTTAGTGAATGTCCTGTACTGGTCTTAAAATCTCATAACATCAGCTTTTAATGTTCCTCTTGGATGTTCTTCTTGACCCTCAGAGAAGGAGAACATGTCGTGTCTTTCAGGCATGTCCTTTCCTAACAAAAATGACAGGAAACATAAAACATATTATTAGGGCCGGGACTTTAACGCGTTAATTAAGATTAATTAATTACACAAAAATTAACGCGTTAAAAAAATTAACGCATTTTAATCGCACTTATTTTTGCACCGCGGAACGTTTCTCACTGGATGAGTTTCAGGCGTACCGATTATACTGGAGCACCAACTAACGTTCATGACTTCAGACAACAACAAACCACAGTGAACAACAGTGGGAAATGTTGTTTTAAAAAACGGACGGATGGAAGCGTCGATAAGAGCACGGTTGTGTGCAAATTATGCAAAAAGGAATTCGCATATCACCGCAGCACATCAAGCCTCAAGTATCACCTCAATGCAAAACATATGGCAGCTAGCGTGGAAGCTAGTGTGGACGTTAGCCTCTTTTATCGCGTTCACACCAAAAAGAGCCGGTACTAAAATTAGTTCATGAGAACCTTTTTACCCCCACGAAAGCAGGGACTTTCGTACGGCTCTCTTGTGAGAAAAGAGCTATATTTCTGATTGGCTGGGCGGATTACAAACCACGCCCCGTAAAACTCCCAAAAAGTTTTGTGAAGCCGCCATTTTATTATCCTCGCATTAGCATTATTAGCCCAGCGCAGAAACGCAGAGAGACTAACTTATGGCAACACAAAATAAAACATGGGAGCGGTGGAGATGGGGAGGTGTCGGCGTTCTGGCGATTTACTCGGAAGGCTGCTGGGACTCCCAGTTAAATAAATAAATATTTATATGTGATTAAAAATGCGATTAATTTCGATTAATTAATTACAACGCCTCTAATTAATTAGATTAATTTTTTTAATCGAGTCCCGGCCCTACATATTATTGCAGAACAAGTGTGTTATTTATGAAAGCGGTGTGTGTGTGTTTAGGGGCTGTAGATATAATTATTTTGTAATTGTAATGTTTTTTTTTTTATTTCAACAATGAGCTACAAAGACAATCAGATTATGAATGAACAGTATGAAGTTCATCAACATTGAAATATATGTTATTATCAAAATAATATTGGACTGTTATCAAAACATAGTGCAACTGAAGAAGCTTGCTCTGTTGTCTCACTGAAAGAATAACTTTTACCACGTTTTTTACAGACAATATTGAGAGATAAATAGCAGCAGTTCTCACTATGTGTTAAATATCTTTGCCTTCAATACATTAAATTAGAAAGCTGACAAAGTCATATTGCTAAATATCTAAATGTAACTTTTTGCATGGAAAAAACCCTCAACTTAACTGATGTGTAGGTGATCTAGTATTTAGTATTGTTTAATGGAATGTATATCAGTGTATTCAAGTCAATACTTCATTCATTTAAACCAATATCTTTCTTGATTCTTTGTACAGTATGAAAAAAGAGTATTTGTACCTGAGCTGAAGTTCACTGCTGTGAGGAGTCCAGTTCTGTCTCTCACTCTCTGGTCCAGCCTGTCTGCATCACCTGGACACCTTAAACAAACAGATATATATATGTAAAGTACCATGTGTACAAACAATATAACTGATTCTCTTCTGTTGAACATGTTGGATTGTGTATGATCCGAGTCAGGGTCCTTTTTATTTTACTGTAACTTTGGAAGTTGTGTTACCAATGCTTACTGTTTATTTGATACCCATTTGGTAATGAAATTAATAAAAACA